TCCTTAGGTTTCTGAAAAATATATCACACCAATATTCCCCTCTTGAAATTAGAATTTTGACTAGCTAAATCAAAGTTTGAAACTGTACCAAAGGGCATTGTTCACTATCCAGAAAACCAAAAAAATTTCATGGCCTTTGAGCCACCAACAGGAAGCCCCAAGCCCCCAAACCCCGCCATATATATATATATATATATATATATATATATATATATATATATATATATATATATATAATTAAATTAAACCGTGTGGATTATTTTGTAGAGTTCAGCATTTTGACAGAAGTTTGGTATAAGTGCAATGTTAATTAATGTTCTTGTTAATAGGGCAATCCTATATATTGATCAAATTTCCTTGATTTTGAGGAACAGTTAGAACTTTGATCAGCATGCAACTGAGAAAAATTGTTTCAAAATCCTGTATTGATAAAGACTGGGCTGTTTTGCCAATTGCAGGGAGCACCAGAAAAAGCCATCATTTATGCGATTTAAGTCATTTTTTTAATCAATAGCTAATATTAACATTGCTTACCTCCAATATATCAATGTCTCTGTCTATAGAGGCTCTGAGCATCTTCATTAAGGAATGAGTCTAGACAGACACTGAGATATTGGAGGTAAACGATGTCAATATTAGTTGTTGGTTGTGTCATAGTGGTGATTTCATGGTCAAACTTTATTTTAGAAACTTCCACATTTAAATCAAATTAAATCAACATTTGGTGAAGATGTTCAAATGCCTCCGTTATAATGATATTACTCAATTCTGTTAATGCATTTTGTTCATTGGAAAGAACTGTAACCAAGTTTTAAGGATGTTTTCAGATTTAAAAGGATTGAATAACTTTATTTACAGCTTCATCTCCAAGTTAAAGTTTAAAGCAATCTGAGTTTAATTAGGTTGAAGGTGTCTAGTAATGTGTCTTCTGTTAATTGGCTTCAATATCTCTGACTTGTTTTAGGATTCACTGTAATGTATTTTGTGTGTATGAGTATATAAGGAGAAGAACTTTGTATTAGAGATTGGAGATTAGAGCTCAGAGTAAGTTTGGTCAGTCAAAATGATAGCTGGATTGTCCCTGCTCTCTTAGGAGACTCAATATCTCTCAGTCAGAGAAATTAACGTAGAGATCAGTCAGTTTGTAGTTGATCTCTGAAATACATATCAAAGCTGTTGTGTCACCTGCTGGAGAAGTATCTCAGACAATTCTTCTCTGACATCAATGTTTCAAATTTGCAATGCACTTTCACTTGCAGATTTTACAGTCACTCAAGGGCTCAGTGCAAACCATTCAGGAAAATACATGTCTGTGAATGGCACCTGTCCAATAGGAAGTAATGAGTGGGTAATTGGTAAGTTAATTCACAAACAGAGCTTTTAGTTATTTTGCCGTCAGTAATCAGTAATTTATTCAGTTTTGAAGGCAATATTGTTACAAAAATAGCTGGATCATACCACCTAATACATGTCTTATGTCATTAGTCTTTGTGGAAATACACAACCTTATCCTTTCATTTGAATTATTGGAACTTTGTTTGTTGCAGAATTATATAGTCATATTTTTCACCTTGACGTTGGTCTTGGAGAAAAAGATTCATTCATTTACTCAAGCATTAGTGAAATCAGTCATTTTTAAATCTGATGCACAAATGAGATAACAAAATAAACATTTAAATGTTAATACATGTAGCAATAGTATTAAGTGTAAAAACTGATTATAAATGTGCTTACTTGATATTTATATTGTGATATTTATATATTGGTAGCTTTCCTTACCACTTTCACAGTGGTATTGTGTGCAGCCATAGCCATTATCCTGTTTGCATGCTGGTGTTTGAAAGGAAAATCTCCTGTAGAACTTGTACAGGAATTATGCAATCACAGAGAAACAGGTATTTCCTGAATATTTAATTTTCTGAAGAAATATTTATTCCCCTCTCTCTCTTTCTCTGTAGCAATCAGTATATTTATGTAAGGTAATGGGCATTGCATAATATCAGAGAGTGGTCTCAAAATGTAAAACAACCACAACCAAAAAAAAAAATAGATATATGGATTTTCAAAATGCATCAATTAATACCACTTGCCATAGAATTATAAAATAAAACTACTTTATTTCAATTACAGATTGAAAATTATCAAACATCTGATGCTTCATATAGGCACGTACAATGAACAATTGACTAAAATGTTATATCATATTTTTCCTATACAGGACCAGAAGATAGACAAGTCTCACTTACAAGGTAATCCAATGATAAATTGATTTATTAGATTATTCAAAAGAGTTATAGAGACTATATATATATCACTCAGTAACAGTATATATTTATAAAGCAATATTTTTAATTAAATTATTGCACTACACACAGTCGACATAATATAAAATAAAAAAATATTTTTCTATATCTTTGATAGCAAAGGTTTTACCTCGAGTTACAACACGCTGACAGAAGAACACTACAAATATCAACACAATTTTTTCAAATGAAACATTTCATAGAAAAATTCTTAAGAGACAGTAATATCAAAATCAATAAATACTGATCCGCTATTACTATAATTATTGATGTCATAAAAGATTAGGAAGCCATGAACAAAATGTGTCATGTTGTAAACAGGAGCAAAAATGAAAAAAGAAATCACAAAAATCATGATAACATACAATTCAAACAAATTACACAGTAGTTAAAACATACTGTATATTTTTATGAATCAGCTTCTTACAGACATAAAGTCACCCAAATTTTAATTGTAGAGTGGAAACCCAGTTAAGCGATAACTCACAAGAAAAATCCAGTTTCCCTTTGGCAAGGAGCAGAGAAACTGACATTAATGCATTTTCAGAGGAAAATAACAGGGTCACACATTCCTACAAAGAGAGGCAAAACTGTCTAGAAGCTGTTCGTGATGAAGGCAGTGATTTTTTACCGCCTGCCATCTTAGCAGCTAGTGGCACATTATCTAATAGTAACAACGAACTAGACATTACAAGTGATGAAACTTCACACGTCCAAGATACTCAGGATCAGCAAGAAAACGACAGTGTTACACACCGTAAAGTAGCAAGGGAACAAACTCCATGTACTCAAGATGAGCTCCATCCATTACTTGCCCAAAACAGTTTACCTCAACAGGATAAACCAAATGAGAGTACAGGAGGTAACAACAAACTTTTCCTTGTAAACAATCAGCAGAGGGATCTTGTTTTTATCAAAGCACAATTGGAGGTGGGCTTTACTGCACAAGGTACACAAGATGATGCTGATCTTCCCCTTGGTATGCCAGCTTCAGATGACAGTAATTATGCACAGGCACAGCAAGTGCAAGAAAATCCTGAAAAAAATGAACATACTGAACAGAAAACAGTTGTCTAGTTATTGTACCACCAGCGTTAGCGCTGGCGGTACACATGGTTTCGGTCTCGTCCGGATCGTTCCGCCGGCTCCGCCGGCNGTTCATTATAGCTATTTTCTTTATTAAGTCAGTGAAGCATTATTGTTAAGAGTGAATTTGAGAAAAGTGCCGACCTACCCCGATTGGCGAACTTAAAAAGATAAGTTGGAAGTCAAAAAGTTTTCGGTGTGTTAGGTGGTGGTTCGTGGATCTGTCGTAAACCTTGTCAAATTATTTGTAAAATGTATATCATGTACAGCATTCCAAACAGGAACATAAGCAACAAATCTTAATAACATTACGGTAACATCGATATTACCATATACATTTATACATTACTAACGAACATGTTGAAATCGCTAAGAATTTAGAAAAGGCCTACGAACAGTTCTCGGGAAACATCTTGTTTGCAAATCGGAAGTACTCTGTATTAATAGTGTGTGGTAATTTTCTGCTATCATTTTTATCACTGTAGGCATATGTACATGTATGCTTTTACTCGTTCACTCTTCTGGTCAATGTAGGTCACTGTGTCTAGACGGTGTCTAGCGGTGCACAAACGTAAATATTACATAGCTATTCACTATTCTACCCGGATCCTATCCACGTTGAATCACTTCGGTGATCGGAGAGAACCGGGCAACTTGACACCAACGATTTTTGTTTGAAGTTATCAAATAAAAGTACACACACTGGACAATAGAAGTGTCACCCCTACTGAACCAATGCTTTGGGGGAGATAAATGACCGTGGAATATGATATGCTCCTGGTATCATTTTATTAACATCAAATTTCACAAAAAGACCAACAATACAATTCCATGGTGAAGCAGTTTTATACTCATTAGTCACATTATTAGTAGACCAGGCATTATAACTTTGATTACTTTGATTCAGGAGTGGTACTTCTATTGCCCAGTGTGTGTATATTCAATTTAATTAAAACAGGGCTGCATAAACTGTGTTAAAATAATCTATAGCCAAGCACCCTAGCACAAAATTTTCAAATTTCATTTTGTATGTGAAGATGTAAAATGGAGATAAGCATAAGACTCCAAACATATTATTAAAATTTTATGTTAACATTACTGTAATCTTACAAAGATTTCAGTATGCTTGTTTATAAACAAGAAGTTCTTGAAAGCCATTATTTCTCTATTTACTATTAGTCTCATCTAAGATTTGCTAAGTTTAATCTAATCTAATGTGGATGAATTGTAATTGGCCATAGCAACGCAACTGATGGTTAGGCAATGTTGAACATGAAGAAAAAAGAATGCATCTTACTTTTTTTATGGATTAAATAGTTTTCAGAAAAAAAAAAACTCCAGTCATGTTTTTTGCCTACTTTGATAACTCAACAAAATTAAAATTAAATCAAATTCAACAAAATTAAAACAAAATTAAAATGAAATGATAACATATAACATGTAGAACCCTTATTTTTGTTATTGCAAAACATATTAAAAAATCATGCTTATTCCTGTCTCACCCTTTTGCTTTTAAGGCAGTTGTTCAGACTGTTAACACAGAAAGGGGGCGGGGCCAGGGTAGATGCAGCAGAGGAAACAGGAAGCCTCAGCCATGTGAGGAATTATACACAGTAGACAAAGACGGCTGCTGTCGGCCCTGCAAGTGCCGCAAGGGGTATGGCAGGCCCAGGGGGGTAAAGGTAATCATAAAACGTTGTAGAGAAACGTTAAAAAACAGGGATCAAAGTTTTGAAAATATATTAGGTAGATTAAAAATACAGTTCTTTCTCCCCTTTTTGCTTCTTGTGTGATACTCCTTAGACAATGCAATACAGAAAAAGTGACTTACTTTTGGTCTTCATTTCTAACTAGAATCCATGTACAGAAGACTGCCAAAAGTGTGAGCTTGGGAGAACATACAATGACAAGTTTGACTTCTTCTGTAAGCCATGTCAAGGATGCTATGACAATCGCATTGTAGAGGAGCAGTGTACTCTGAGCAGGAACAGGAAGTGTGGAGAGGGCTGTATTCCTGGGTAAATACACAGTCATCACCTTGAACCCATTGGCATATTATACTAGCATTCTGGGTCAGGTAGATCAATTAAAGAACCACATTTTATATATAAATTACACATATAACTATTTGTATAAAATAATTTTTAACTTTGAATACAGATTATAATATTTATAGCCATGATATTAATACTAGGTATTTTAGGTTAAATTATTATATACTTTTAGAAATCTAATTGGAAGCTAGGTGCCATATTTACCCATCACATATATTTCAGGTATTATCGAAGAACGACATACAGCCAAGAGCTGGAGGAGAACTGTGTACCATGTACAAAAGACCATATGAACATACTTGTATGTAATCTGTATTTCAATGTGCCCTTAGACAGGAGCACTACAAAAGGACTGCCCAGTACAATCAGAGCAAGCTACCCTGATAGCAGTACAAAAGGCATGGATCAGAGCATTCAGAACAGCACTGAGCATGCTGCAACTTCAACGGTTGAATTCAAAAGTGTAACAACAGTGGCCACGTTGAAATATACAATTGGTAATGCTTTCAATTTTATCAGCACTAGTAAAGTTATATATAAAGTCATGTATTATATTATATTATATTATATTATATTATATTATATTATATTATATTATTAGCAACATATTTTAATTTAACCATGAAGCTTTTTAAGTAGACCTCACATGTTGACAGTTTGGTAAAGTCTTTTGATTTTCATTTGTCTTCCAGATCATGGGCCAGTTTCACTAAAATGTACTTGATAATCAGAGGCAGTTCTTAATTTTGAACACTTTAGCATCTGAGAAAAAAGAAAGCAATGTGCTAGTTTTCTTTAAATATATCAAAAATAATGTCCAATCTGCAATTTATGAGACTTGCTCTGCATAATAATATGAAAAAATTTTACAATTCTGAGACTAGTGTATAAATCTCACAACTTTGTACTATCATAGATCTCACTGTTACTCAAGAACCAAACCCAGAGGTGGCAAATTATACAGGAAAATCCAACTCCTCCATGAATAGCACCCTTCCGAATGGAGGTAAAAAAAAGAGGGGAATAGGTAAGAACATCTAATAAAGATGTTTTGATTTATTTTCAATTCATTTGTAAAAATTTTCTATATATATATATATATATATATATATATATATATATATATATATATATATATATATATATATATTTTTTTTTTTTTTTTTTTTTTTTTTTCATTTCAATAAAACAGATTTAGAGGAAAGACGTGGAAAAAGTTGATGTGGCACCTATGACCATACATTGTTTTCAATTTGATGGTGTTGTACAACGTTTTCCTTAATCCATTTGAAAAATCAGAGTTTTAATGGCTTCATATAACTTATCACAGTTTAGTTAAGTTCAGTTACTACTTAATTGAGTGCATGAAATTAAGAAAAATATGATGTTCCTTTGTTTTGTGCTCAATGGCTAAATAAAGTGTGGATTTTTCTTCTTCATTGCACAGATCCTATGCCTGTGTTTTTTTTGCACATGATTGGTGGCTTCATTGTCTTGGTTTTAAGCCTGAACATTGCTATGTTCATTATCTGGTGGGCCACAGGAAAAACCCTTGTAGATCATTTAAGGGACATATTGCCTGGGAGAGAAACGGGTATTTCCCTAAGATTAAACTCTTTGTATTTCAAAAGCATAAGTTATTTTCTGAATATTTACCCTTTATTTTGATAATTACACGTAGTTATGGAAAGCAGCAAAAATGCAAATAATCAAATAAAAGGAGTCTTCAGGAATACCCAGCCAATGCAAGTAAACAGTATCATTATAATACATTTTTAAAATCACTGTTAAGAAATCAGTTCTTCAGTGAAAATATAAAGTCCACTTTTTTTCTTTCAGGCGCAGAAAGTAATGCTGCTAGCATGATGTCTTATGATGAAAGAGTTAACAGTGTTGGGCAAAACACAAGGTAATCAAATGATATTAAAATTAAATCGTTAAAATAATGAAGATGAAATAGCTGTAACACTGACTGGTAGTTCTGTAAACTTTAATTGTAACCATACTGAATGTATGTTTTGAAGCATGCAGCAGTGAATAAAGTATGACGTGACTGTTACAGAAATCCACAACTTTCTTTTCATTTTGAAAAAAGTGAGCAGGGAGGGGGGTTTAGGTGGGTTTTTAAACACCCCATTGGCTAAAAAACTGGAGCAAAATTTGATCTAGATTTAGCTGTGAAGTTGTCTCAAGTTAGGTAAACTTATGAGATAAAAAGGTTCACTTAAAAAAAAAGAAAAAAGAACCTTCCCTTTGAAAAAGCAGGTACAGGTGTTCACACTTCGTCAAAACAATTTTTGTTGATCATTATCTCCATTGCCCTTTATAAAAAAGTAAAAAGAATAGGACAGACCTCCATCCAGGAAAGAGCCAATAAAAAGCCTTTAAAAATATTAGGAGACCTATATTCAGTTGAAATTGTGTTAATCTTTTTCCCTTTGAATAATTGTTTATCCTAAAAAAACAATAAATACTTAAATATTTATTTTACCATCACCTTTATTATTCAGTAAAATTTAATATCACAATCTTACAGAAATAGAGGACCAGGAAATTTCAATTGTAGGGCTAAAACACGGCCCAGCGAATGTTCACAAGAAACACCTAGTTTATCTGTTCAGAGTTATGGCAGTGATACAGGCCCAGAAGAAGGTGACAGGCTAACACATTCCTATCAAGGAGCCATTGCCAGGGCTGGTGAAAATACTTCTAGATCTCAACTGTCAGCTGAACCAGTTGGTGGCACACTTTCTTATTCTAACAACAGAGGGGAATTTACAAGTGAGACAACTTCACATAACCAGAATCGAGAAGAGAACAATAGTATTACACACCTTAAACAAATAAAGAAGCCAAGAGGAACTTTACACGAGGCACAGCCATTACTTGGGCCTCTCAGTTCACTCCGTCATTATAAGCGGAACAGCAGTAAGGGTTGTTACAATAGAAATCTTGCAGAAAAATGTCAAGCTAGAGTAGATTTACAATTAAAGATTAATCTCCCGGCAAAGAGCAGAGGTATGGGGGTAACTTATGAAAGTGCTGCTGACCCAACAACTCCTGATGATGATGATCTACACTTCGGCATCACAGCTGTAGATGACAGTAACTTTGTGCAGGCTCAACAGGCACAAGAAGATCTGGAACAAAAGGAAAATACTGAACAGAAAAGAGTAGTTTAGTTTTATACTGCTAAATTAAATTAGCATGTAGTGAAAAAAAATTGATGACAACATCAATGGAATCTTCATAATACAATGGTTCACTATGGTTAACTTTCTCAAAATTGTTTTTTTTTTTTGTAAGATCAGGGAATTATATTGGATATATATTCTGATATAATTCCCAGGTAAGATCTTTTTTTTTTTTTTTTTTTTTTTTTGCAGCTTTGCAGCCAGTTTCAGTAAAGAATACTTCTTATGTGAGATAAAGAAAAGTCTGCATTATGCCATCATAATATTTATTTAAAACAGTAACTAATTTTTTAATTGGCAAGAAGGCCTACAGTTATAAAGAGAAGCTCTAGGTTGTCAAATATATTTCTGTGACATACAAAGTATCATTTATTTGTTTACAAAGAAATTATAACCACATTATGAAAATGTTAATTTGCAGTAAAATACATATATTTTAAAAGAGCAAATATATTAATTTAGCTTAATTTATAAGCATAGATGAAAATCTCCTTACATTTCTCGTCCAAAATAGAGTATGCATGTGTGTTTTGATAATTATATTTGTAAATGATGGTGTCCTAGTTTCAAACATTTCTTAAATTTGTTCACAATTTTTTCATACATGCTGTTTAGCTTTGTCACAAAACACATGCATCAGCTTCAGTAGTTTACCAGCAGCTTTGAAAAGGACTTTTTGTGACATATTAATCACTCTAACCTTCAAAGCCTAAAAGAAGGAAAAGGATAACACAAATGGAACCCGAGATTTATACAGATCAAATAAGTACATCAACCACACCAGTAGTCAAGCACTAGTTATATACATTTTCAAAATTTTTTAAAATGACAAAACATTTTATACCATACTGGGAAGACTAAGGCCCTTAAATTTCCAGTAGATATAACTGGGCTTTGAATGATTAACAACTTCATTACATGGCCAGTTCAAACTTTATGACCAATCATTGCTCTATGTGATCTCAAGATATGTGTTTGTGATTTCATTTATGCTTATTAATAACTAATGTTGTGCTGGAGCAAGTAAGGGTTGGGTGCTGATGCACAAATTGCACAATAGCTGTACTTAGGACTTCATCACTGTACCACTGACCGTTCAGATTTCCACTAAGTATTAATCCATTTTTATGATATAAGTATAGGGATTAATGTGTATAAAGAATAAAGATACTGGTTATTATTATTTTTTTATATATGTAAATGAATTGTAAAATGTATAATACAGAATATAAATATATTACATTTGCTCAATAAAGCAATATATTATCATTATTATTGTCTAAATGACTAAGTATTATATATCACTATTATTATGTAAGTAGAAGGATTGATGTGTTTATAGATGTAGAATAAATATATTTCTATCATTATATAAGTAAATGAATTATAAAATATTACTGGAAGTTGAAAGAATTTGAGCTATGTCATGATGCATATATAATGAAATTCACATGAATGAATTTAGTTATAGGATTTATCAAACCCATATACTGGTACAAATTATGGGGTATTAACTACTCTTTAAAATTTGATAGTGTATCAGATGGTAATAGTTAAATGATACTGGCACTGTACTAGAAATACAAATTGATGCTAAGGGTTTTTTTTGTCTTGATTTATTATTTTTTTGTACCTCAGATTTCTTTAACAGAAAATATGTCCTGAAATGTGCAGACTGGAAAACCTGCAAATGCACACTTCCATTTATTGCTTTTAAGCACTCATAAAGTGGTTGATTTGTACATTAAAATAAATATTATTATTATCAGAAGTTCAAATCATGAAAATTTTGAGGCACATTTGAGTAGAATTCACAGGTGGTGTTATGACATAATTAAATGTGTATTAATATATATTATTTAACAATACCCACTTTAATATGTATTATTTAACAATACCCTTAGCTTCTCAACTAGATGTTCATCTACTGGCACAGCTTAACTAAATATCAAAGTTGTTAACCCATGTACGGTATTTCATAATAGCCAAAGTAAATACACAGAACTTTTAAAAAACCACAACTTCCTGTGTTCTTTTGTATGAGACCGGATGCAAAGGTGTAATGTGTCAACACGGTTGGGATTATGAAATATTCTTTGATAAAAGACCCCGAAATCATATTTTGTGAAGACTTTAAGAAAGAAATATGGATTTTTAAGTTTGTCAGTCAAAAAATGGTGAACTAACACAAAAAAATTAATACATTGAAAAATTGAATGATAAGTTTTAATCCTCTGAAATTATAATTTAGATGATATATAACAGATGTTTTTTGTTTTTCATTTGGCAGCCAAAGGGAAAAAAATGGAAGTGGATAACATTTGCACATGTTAAATGAAATACTTGGACACTAATAAATATAATGGTGTCAAAATACCTGAGCTGCTTTCATGAAATATCAATCATGACAATCTCTCCTTTCTCATTCAGTGATAGGCTATTTATAGCCCTTTATAACAGCAACTGAAGTGAAAAGATGTCCTTAGACACACTTATTGGCATAAGACATGTAAACGCTTCTAAATTTTTAATGGATATTTAATTACTAATATTCTGAAGTAAATGAGATAAACAATGCACAATAGTTTGTGATTAGCATTTATTTTTGCATAATTCACATTTTAAGAATGAATAATCTATCTGCATCAGTCAAATAGACTGAAGCCAAAATTCACACTTTATGTACTTCAAGTGGCACACTGTTCTACAGCATGTTTCTTCATTTTCTTCAAGCCAAAAGAAAGTAGCCACAGACGCCACTGCAAAAAGGAAAAAGAAATTCATTACTTAATTTATCTGGAATATTTGATAATTCAACATTTGAGAATGGCAAAAAAACTAAAAGACAACATATAAAAAAAAACAAAAGCCAAAGTGCAGGTGTCATCATGCATTTCAAGAGGTTGGATAAAAAAGTTTTTAACTAAAACGATTCATACAAAGTGGAATGCAATTTGGACAGGAATAACAGTCACATTGTTTCTTTATCTATTAAAACTTTATTTGTTGAGGGTGTTAGATATGTTAGATATAAAATCTATCATCCCCATGGCCCTCGTGGCCTTCAAGTGTGTGGAGGGCATACGTGACCAGTGCACTTCTTTAAATTGTTAGGAGGTGATGATAAATAATGCTGACAAGAAACTGAAAGAAACAAATAATTAAATATAGTAATCAAGCAGTACATACAACTATAAAATGATACATGTATGGTTCTTGTTCAGAATACAGGAAAAAGATACATACCAGCATACTGGTTTCAGTTATCCTGTACATCCAAATGCACCATTTGGTCCACATGTGCAGCAGGTCCAGTGGCCCAATTCATCAGCAATACCATTACAGACCCTGGTACCTACAGGATGTTTCTTGCAGAATTCAGGCATGTTACTTGTGTCTCCTATCAAGTAATTTTTAGACGATGCCAACCCTGCCATAACCACCACGAGACACAGCACAACTAAAGGACACCTCTTTGAAAACATTTTGGCTTTGTTATGAGACTTATTTTAAAACTTGGCAATTACTACTGGGCTTTTATACTCAGGCAAACTTGCCCATCATATGTTTCATTAATTCTGTGCTAAGTGAAGTTATTATTTTTATTTGATCCATTTCCTGGCCTTGTTATGTCAGCGTTATTAGAATAATATTTATCAGATAATTATATAGTTTTTGTCACTTATCATGAAATTACTTTGTTAAATTCACATCTCCTAATAGGCTTGTAATTACCATTAGTATTTACATTTCTGACTTCCAAAGCAGTCATACATAACCGTACTTATTTTTCAAATTATTTCTGTAATTATTTACATGAGATGCCTATAAAATTGCCGTTATTTTAGTAATGAGGTTTTACACACATGCAAAAAAAAAAAAAAATCATGAAAAAAGAGATAAAAATGTATTACAATTATTGCTGAAAATGTTTATTACATGTGAACTGTGGTCAATGTGCATCCATAATTAACTCTTTTATTATTTTTTATTCAAAAGAAAAGGTCAAACTAGACCTTATTTTAGAACTGTTTATAATATCTCCCTGTAACAGTTATAAATCACTTCTACCAGTATCTCATAGACTTAAAGAATGTCCACATGCCAAAAAATAAACCAAACAAATTAATAATAATAATAATAATAATTTTATTGAGCACTAAAATGTTTCAGTACATTTTGCAGGCCCTCTAAACTACTTGTGTTATACATACATGTAATACATATCTAGATCTATTATCACAATAAAAAATAAATAAATCACTCGATCAGCAAAAAAAAAAAAAAAATTGATCCTTTTATCTGTTTGCCCAGTTTTGTAGTTATAGGTATATGACTTAGTTATGTATGATGCATTTATCAATAATTATTCAAACGAGAGTTAGTGACAGCTGTTTAAGATTGACAAAAATATCATTTATTGACCTAAGGTATGGGTCAAATTACATGCTTAGAAGTCACCATGTTGGTTAATGAATCTACAACCCTCATAAAATACTTTTATTCTTAAAAGAATACATGTATACATTAGAAATAAGATGATGATGATGTGTGTGTGTTTGTGTGCAGTGGCAGATTTCAGTGGTGTCGGGGGGGTTGGGGGGGGGGGGCAAACCATCCCTTTGATTTCTGAAAGTTATTGACAATGCATGTGTTTACTTATTTTTGTTCATTCCAAAACAAAACTGTCGTCCCAGGCAATAACACATGGTCGCTCTTTGCCTAGTTTGGACTTTGTTTTTCATCTCTTATCAAATACACTGCACATATGTAATATGTATATTGTATTGCATCACTCAATTCTGCCCATTTAAAAATCTATACAGGCGATGGGAGGAGAGGGGTACGTATTTTCGCTTTACAGTAATTTATTACTTAAAAGTATATTTATTAGCCATGTATTCATGCAGTGACCTACTGGAAGTGTCTACAGTAGTTTCACAAATACCAGTTGAAACTGGTTAAGGTTAGTCCCTCTGACATTTCTGTCTGATAGATTTTTCATGCTTAATTGACACTATTGTATCCATTCTAAGATTAGAAAATGATACTATCATTGATAGATATCCATGTTAGTTTTGTTGCTCTGGTGATTTTAACATTGGAGTCAAATACCCCATGTAACAAAGGCAACTTGCTTTAGGATTAAAACTTTCATTTTCTTGGTACATTTTTAAAGTTTTCTTTCCAAGCAAAGCATTTTCAACCACTTAACACATGACAGTATCTGTTGATCTTTTGATATAAATTTTAGCCTGCCTGTTTACTTCAACTTTCATGTATTGCTAGATTGCCAAATACCAGCACTAGCTGCTGACACAATATGCAAGAAAAAAGATATTAATGAGCTACGTTGTTGGGCAGTGAAGCATAAAGGCACTACTTTAATGCTATATCAGTAAATGCTTACAATTAACAGATTGCTGGAGGCTCTATGGGGGATTCCTCAACTTTTTTTAGCATGTGCACTTAGCACTTAATCAATCAGGCTGAATCTATTTTTAGCATGTGCCCTTATCAATCAGGCCAAAGCATTCCAGAACCTACTGTTTCCATAGTGTAGATGTGATGTAATTAAGTTAATTTACCTCATATACTTCATGTACATGACCCAATTAATGGAATAAAATAACATCACAAAGACTTATTATCGTAATTATAATAATAATACATTAAACAGTACTCATAATAATAATAATAATCCAGTCAAATTTTTTTCTATTTTTTTACATAATATTATATATTTATTATTATTTTTCTTGTATTAAACTGTTGTTGTACATCTGATTTGGGCCATTTGACCCAATGCCAAAAAATATATTCAAAAGTTGACCATGCAAGTGTTTACGTATTTGACTTTGTATGTTCCAAAATAAAATGGTCCTCCCATGCAGTAAGACATGGCCACTCCTTGCCTTGTCTAGACTTCCTGTCAGGTTCACTAGCTGCTCCACACTCAGGGGAATAAGGTGAGGAGCTCTGATATATGTTGCCAGTGGTAAATCTGAAATTCAGTAGCTACGTTTTATATTCTTCAGTGACAAAATGACAGTTGAAATAGATATAACTGATATTTATCTAAACTGATCTGACATAATCTGAAATTCAACTACAGCTTTTTAAAAAATTATGCAACCAATTTGTTTTGATATTAGATATATCACATTGGGGTTGAATGGAATGTAGAAATCAAATACACAGAGGTAACATTCAGTCTTCACATGGAATATATTACAATGGTATTTTTTTCATGGATATAGTTGGTGCATAAAAGAATTATCAAGAAAAAATATGAAAATTTAACATCATTCTTACTCTATCAGATTATACTTATAAATTTTAAATCTGCCCCTTCATGTGTATACATGAAACCACATCAGGTTCATGAGAGATGACTTATTTATTCAGTTGTCAGTTGACCATGATATCATAAGCCTCACATAATAACCAAAAAACAGATTTTAGGCAATTATCAAACACATGCTTATAGTTTAAAAAATGAAATACCACATATGATATGCAAATGGTAATTTACAGGTAACAATTGATTTCTGCCAGGATCAATGTATGTATTTGACTGCTGACTTTGCTAAGGTGGCTCTAAAAGTTCCCATATACAATGTTTTGGTTCATAATCAAAGAAGTGTTTTACAGGCAATTTTTGATTTTTCAATAATTATGTAAATCTGACTTTGACTCCCCTTCCCAGCAAAAAAGTGTTCATTTCTAAATGATAATAAGGCATATTTCAATAGTGTTTTCGAAAATAAATCAGATGTTTGTCATCTTCTCACATTAGTGCAAGTAGTTAGAATACCTGTGTGGCCACACAGCATTGTGGAAATGTTCCAGCAAGGATTTCCCTACACAATAGCCATATCCTAAACAGGTTTTGTTTATAAAGTTAAAGAACTTAATGACCTGTCAGGTACAAGGTCTAACCAAATATTCCATAATTGCTCTGATGTAGCAACATTTTTACTGTGGTTATTGAGACGTATGAAAAAGTGCACTGAGTGAATTTGAAACCATATTGGATATCTGTCTAGGCCTGGGGCGCATAAAATTAGTCTTTACTTTATAAGTTTACGGAGGTATAGTTTAGACCCCATTCCCAGAGATTAGATCAATCCAAACTAGATCGACCTAACTCCTTGGGGGTTCACGCTAAATAGCTGTCAGCCGAGCGGGCATGAAAGTTAATTACCCCCTTACAGCTTGTAGTAGGCGGGACAGACATTTAAGCAGGATCATCTGACAGTAATCTAGTGAGACTCCCCACAGGGATAGATCGATCTAAATGTCTGGGAATACGCCTTTAGTTTACTATGTCCAAGGATACATCAATAGTGCAGTGCAGTTCATTAAATGAAGACACTGTACTCATTTAAAAAAAAATTAGCACACATTAATGGGTATAATGTTTTGAACAAAGAAGTTATTTTATTTGGTGGACTGCAGCAAGGTATTACATGTATCAGAACTAGTTGAAACTAAGGGGAATAACCACCAAAATTTTGCTTCTAAGTATACAGTGTAAATAATGTCTTGAAGCTTGTGGGCCAATAGAAAACGAGTGCTACTTTACTAAATATGGTCAGACTTGTATGACTTCATCAATTAACATAATGTCACCATGACAAAATATGAATACATTGATTTTTCTGCAATGTATTTATCAAATCCAGTCTTTGATCTGGCCCAAAGCCAAAAAAGTATATTCAAAAGTTGACCATGTGTTTACGTATTGGTTCCAAAATAAAACAGTTCACCCACGCAATAACATCCCAATAACAAATGGGCACTCCTTGCTTTGTCTAGACTTCCTGTCTGGTTCACTAGCTGCTCCACACTCACCTGATTAAGGTGAGGAGCTCTGATATGTTGCCAGTGGTAAATCTGAAATTCAGTAGCTAGGTTTTATATTCTTCAGTGACGAAATGACAGTTGAAATTGATATAACTGAAATTTATCTTAACTGATCTGACATAGTCTAAAATTCAACTGCAGCTTTTTAAAAAATTCTGTGACCAATTTGTTTTGATATTTGTTAAATATATCACACTGGGGTTGAATGGAATGTAGAAATCAAATACACAGAGGTAACATTCACATGGAATATATTACAATGTTTTTTTTTTGTTTTTTTTTATTTTCATGGATATTTGGTGCATAAAATAATTATCAAGAAAAAATTCGAAAACTTAACATCATTCTTACTCTATCAGATTATAGGCACATTTTAAATCTGCTCCTTCATCTGTACATGAAACCTAATTATCAGGTTCATGAGAGATGACTTATTTATTCAGTTGTCAGTTGGCCATGATATCATAATAAGCCTCATATAATAACCAAAAAACAGATTTAGCAATTATCAAACACATGCTTATGGTTTTAAAACTGAAATACCACATATGATATGCAGNTAACCCATGGGCCATTGGCCCAAAGCCAAAAAAGTATATTAAAAAGTCGTGTTTACTTATTGCAGACTCCATTTCTCCCAAAATTAGATGGTCCTCCACTTTGCCATATCAAGACTTCACTTTTTATCTCTTCTAAGATACACTGTAATATGTATATGTAATATGTTTATTGTATTGCATCACTCAGTTCTGCCCATTAAACAAATCTATACAGGTGATGGGAGGAGAGAGGCATTTTCCCTTTGCAGTAATATTTATTAGCCTTGTATCCATGCAGTGACCTAGCTACTGAAAGTGTCTCCATAGTTTGACAAATACCAGTTGAAACCGGTTAAGGTTTGTCCTTATGACATTTTTGTCTGATAGATTTTTCATGCTTTACTGACACTATTGCATCCAGTTTAAGATTCGAAAAATGACAGATATCCATGTTAGTTTTGTTGCTCTGGTGATTTAAACTCTGGAGTCAATTACTATAGACCCCTATGGAAATTTTAATTGTTTTTGCATTAACTTCAGATTTTTTTCACAAATGAATTGCTTTATAGTCCATATCTCTTGCACGTGGTACGCATTTTATGGGGTATTAACCACTCTTTAAAATGTGATAGTGTATCAGATGGTAACAGTTAAGTACTACCGGTACTGTACTAGAAAATACATATTGATGCTAAGAGCTTGACTTATAAGTCTTGATTTATCATTCTATTGTACCTCAGATTTCTTTAACAGAAAAATAAAATATGTCCCAATAGACTGGAGAGGCCGCAAACACACACTTCCATTTATTGCTTTTAAGTACTCATAAAGTGGTTGATATGTACATTAATATTATTATTATCAAAAGTTCAAATCATGAAAATTTTGTGGCACATTTGAGTAGAATTCACAGGTGGTGTTATGAGATAATTAAATGTAAGTATATTATTTAACACTATTACCCATAGCTTCTCAACTTAAGATTCATCTACTGGCACAGCTCAGCTAAATCTCAAAGTTATTAACTTGTCCACCCACATATTTCATAACAGCCAAAGTAAATACACAGAACTTTAAAAAACTACAACTTCCTGTGTTCTTTTGTATGATCTCTCGACCGAATGCAAAGGTGTAATGTGTCAACACGGTTGGGATTATGAAACATTGTTTGGTAATAGACCCGGAGATAATGTTTTATGAAGAGTTTAAGAAAGAAACATGAATTTTTAAGTTTATCAGTCAAAAATGGTGAACTACCACAATTTTTTTTAATAATGTACATTGAAAATTGGATGTTAAGATTTTCCCTCTGAAATTATAATTAAGATCATTTATAACAAGTGCTTTTTTTTTCATTTGGCAGCCAAAGGACAAAAAATGGATAAAACTAGAAGTGGATAACATTTGCACATGTTAAATGAAATACTTGGACACTAATAAATATAATGGTGTGAAAATACTCTCCTAAAATATCAATAATGACAATCCCTCCTTTCTCTCTTTTAAAAATGACTCATTCAGTGATAGGCTATTTATAGCCCTTTATAACAGCAACTGAAGTAAAAAGATGTCCTTAGAAATATTTATTGGCATAAGACATGTAAACGCAGAAATTTTTAATGGATATATAATTACTTATATTCTGAAGTAAATGAGTTAAAAAAACAGAAACAATGCACTACAGTTTGTGATTAGCACTTATTTATTACATAATTCACATTTTAAGAATGAATAATCTATCTGCAACAGTCAAATAGACTGAAGCCAAAATTCACACTGTATGTACTTCAATCGGCACACTGTTCTACAACATGTTTTTTCATTTTCTTCAAGCCAAAAGAAAGTAGCCACAGGCACCACTGCAAAAAGGAAAAAGAAATTCATTTACTTAATTTATCAGGCATATTTGAAAATGGCAAAAAACTTAAGGACAACATAAAAAACAAAACCCAAAGTGCAGGTGTCATCATGCATTTTAAAAGGTTGGATAAAACGCCTCATACAAAGTGAAATACTATTTGGACAAGAATAAGTCACCCAGTTCTTTATTTATTAAACTTTATTTTTTGAGAGTAAAAACATGTTAGATATAAAATCTATCATCCCCATGGTCCTCACGGCCTTCAAGTGTGTGGAGGGCATACGTGACCCATGCACTTCTTTAAATTGTTAGGTGATGATAAATAATGCTGACAAGAAACTGAAAGAAACAATTAAATATAGTAATCAAGCAGTACATACAACTATAAAATGATACATGTATAGTTCTTGTTCAGAATACAGGAAAAAGATACATACCAGCATACTGGTTTCAGTTATCCTGTACATCCAAATGCACCATTTGGTCCACATGTGCAGCAGGTCCAGTGGCCCAATTCATCAGCAATACCATTACAGACCTTGGTACCTACAGGATGTTTCTTGCAGAATTCAGGCATGTTACTTGTGTCTCCTATCAAATAATTTTTAGACGATGCCAACCCTGCCATAACCACCACGAGACACAGCATTACTAAAGCACACCTCTTTGAAAACATTTTGGCTTTGTTATGACATTTATCTTAAAACTTGGCAATGACTACTGGGTTTTTATACTCAGGCAAACTTGCCCATCAAATGTTTCATTAATTCTGTGCTAAGTGAAGTTATTATTTCTATTTGATCCATTTCCTGGCCTTGTTATGTCAGCACTATTAGAATAATATTTATCAGATAATTATCTAGTTTTTGTCACTTATCATGAAATTACTTTGTTAAATTCACATCTCCTAATAGGCTTGTAATTACCAACAGTATTTACATTTCTGACTTCCAAAGCAGTCATAGACCCCATTTCCAGAGATAAGATCTATCCAACTAGATCGACCTAACTCCCTGGGGGTTCACGCTAAATAGATGTCAGCCGAGCAGGCACGAAAGTTAATTATCCCCTTACAGCTTGTAGTAGGCGGGACGGACATTTAAGCCAGATTATCTGACTGTAATCTAGTGAGACTCCCCACGGGGATAGATCGATCTAAAATCTATGGGAATGCGCCCATACATAACCATGTACTTATTTTTCAAATTATTTCTGCTATTATTTACATGAGGTGCCAAAAAATTGCCATTATTTTTAACCATGTACTTATTTTTCAAATTATTTCTGCTATTATTTACATGAGGTGCCAAAAAATTGCCATTATTTTAGTAATGAGGTTTTACACACATGCAAAAAAAAAAAAAAAAAAAAAAAATTAGGAAAAAAGAGATAAAAATGTATTACAATTATTGCTGACAATGTTTATTACATGTGAACTGCGGTCAATGTGCATCCATAATTAACTCTTTTATTATTTTTTATTCAAAAGAAAAGGTCAAACTCAACCTTATTCTAGAACTTTTTATAAAATCTCCCTGTAGAACTTATAAATCACCCAGTACCTTACAGACTCAAATATTGTCCACATGGCAAAGAATAAACCATACACCAATGATGATGATGATGATGATGATGCGTGTGTGTGTATGTGTGTGTGTGTGTGTATGTGTGTGTGTGTTTTAAATTCATTAACCAATCAATATTACAACCAAGCATGGAAATGTCTAAGACAAGTCTTATTAATTATCTCTTCTAGTTAAGGGTAATCAGTAAACAGAGTGTTTATTTCTAATGAACAAGTATTTGTTAGAGAAACTTTTATGTTATATCAATATGATTAAGGCAGTATTTACCTTCCTACAGTTATATAATTTATTTTTTACATTAATAAAAAATTACATAATTATTATTATCATTTATGATTATTATTATTATTATTATTATTATTTATTTTTATTTTATTTTATTTTATTTTATTTTATTTTTTTTAATTTATTTTATTATTATTATTATTATTTTATTATTATTATTATTTTAGTTTTAACCTGTAGTTGCACATCTTTGTCAATGCGGGATTTAGAGGGGGGGTGTCAGGGGGGGGGGGTCTTCGCATCCTTGCCCCCCCCCCCCCCCTTCAAATAATCCTGGATCTGCCCCTGTATGTAGTCCATGGGCCATTGGCCCAAAGCCCAAAAAGTATATTAAAAAGTCGTGTTTACTTATTGCAGACTCCGTTTCTTCCAAGATTAGATGGTCCTCCACTTTGCCATATCTAGACTTCGCTTTTTATCTCTTCTAAAATATACTGTAATATGTATATGTAATATGTTTATTGTATTGCATCACTCTGTTCTGCCCATTAAACAAATCTATACAGGTGATGGGAGGAGAGAGGTATTTTCCCTTTACAGTAATAGGTATATTTATTAGCCATGTATTCATGCAGTGATCTAGCTACTGGAAGTGTCTCCATAGTTTGACAAATACCAGTTGAAACCGGTTAAGGTTTGTCCTTATGACATTTTTGTCTGATAGATTTTTCGGGGCCATAGCAATAGTCTGAAGGTTCAATAGTCCGAAGGTTCATTGGTCCGAATATTCACTATATAGAACCTTCGGACCAATGAACCCTTGATTAAAAAATCGATGAAAATGTTACCACTTTTCAGACCAATGAACCTTCGGACTATCAAGACGCCCCGATTTTTCATGCTTAATTGACACTATTGCATCCATTTTAAGATTGGAAAAATGATAGGTATCCCTGTTAGTTTTAGTGCTCTGGTGATTTAAACTCTAGAGTCAATTACTATAGACCCCTATGGAAAATTTAATTTTTTTTGCATTAACTTCAGATTTTTTTCACAAATGAATTGCTTTATAGTCTATATCTCTTGCACGTGGTACACATTTTATGGGGTATTAACCACTCTTTAAAATGTGATAGTGTATCAGATGGTAATAGTTAAGTACGTACTACCGGTACTGTACTAGAAAATACATATTGAAGCTAAGAGCTTGACTTATAAGTCTTGATTTATCATTCTATTGTACCTCAGATTTCTTTAACAGAAAATAAAATATGTCCCAATAGACTGGAGAGCCCGCAAATACACACTTCCATTTATTACTTTTAAGTACTCATAAAGTGGTTGATATGTACATTAATATTATTATCATCAAAAGTTCAAATCATGAAAATTTTGTGGCACATTTGAGTAGAATTCACAGGTGGTTTTATGAGATAATTAAATGTAAGTATATTATTTAACACTATTACCCATAGCTTCTCAACCTAAGATTCATCTACTGGCACAGCTTAGCTAAATCTCAAAGTTATTAACTTGTCCACCCATGTATTTCATAACAGCCAAAGTAAATACACAGAACTTTTAAAAACCACAACTTCCTGTGTTCTTTTGTATGAGACCGGATGCAAAGGTGTAAATGTGTCAACACGGTTGGGATTATGAAATATTCTTTGTTAATAGACCCAAGATCATATTTTGTGAAGAGTTTAAGAAAAAAATATGGATTTTTAAGTTTATCAGTAAAAATGGTGAACTAACACAATTTTTTTAATACATTGAAAAATTGGATGATAAGGTTTTTCCTCCGAAATTATAATTTAGATCATATACAACAAGTGTTTTTTTTTTTTTTTTTCATTTGGCAGCCAAAGGACTAAAAATGGATAAAACTAGAAGTGGATAACATTTGCACATGTTAAATGAAATACTTGGACACTAATAAATATAATGGTGTCAAAATACCCGAGACACTCTTGTAAAATATCAATAATGACAATCCCTCCTTTCTCTCTTTTAAAAATGACTCATTCAGTGATAGGCTATTTATAGCTCTTTGTAACAGCAACTGAAGTAAAAAAATGTCCTTAGAAACAATTATTGGTATAAGACATGTAAATGCAGAAATTTTCAATGGATATTTAATTACTTATATTCTGAAGTAAATGAGTTGAAAAACACAAACAATGCACTACAGTTTGTGATAAGCATTTATTTATTGCATAATTCACATTTTAATGAATAATCTATCTGCAACAGTCAAATAGACTGAAGCCAAAATTCACACTGAATGTTCTTCAATCAACACACTGTTCTACAACATGTTTCTTCATTTTCTTCAAGCTAAAAGAAAGTAGCCTCAGGCCCCACTGCAAAAAGGAAAAAGAAATTCATTTACTTAATTCATCAGGCATATTTGATAATTCAGCATTTGAAAATGGCAAAAAATTAAGGACAACATAAAAATCAAAACCCAAAGTGCAGGTGTCATCACTCATTTGAAGAGGTTGGATAAAAATGTTTTTGACTAAAACGCCTCATACAAAGTGGAATGCAATTTGGACAAGAATAATAGTCACATTGTTTCTTTATCCATTAAAACTTTATTTGTTGAGGGTGTTAGATATGTTAGATATAAAATCTATCATCCCCATGGCCCTCATGGCCTTCAAGAGTGTGGAGAGCATACATGACCCCTGCACTTCTTTAAATTGTTAGGAAATGATGATAAATACACAGGTAATGCTGACAAAAGTAAAACTGAAAGGAGCCAATAATTAAATATAGTAATCGAGCAGTACATACAACTATAAAATGATACATGTATGGTTCTTGTTCAGAATACAGGAAAAAGATACATACCAGCAGCATACTGGTCTCAGTTATCCTGTACATCCAAATGCACCATTAGGTCCACATGTGCAGCATGTCCAGTGTCCCAATTCATCAGCAATACCATTACAAACCTTGGTACCTACAGGATATTCTTTGCAGAATGCAGGCATGTTGCTTGTGTCTCCTATCAAATAATTTTTAGACGATGCCAACCCTGCCATAACCACCACGAGACACAGCACTACTAAAGCACACCTCTTTGAAAACATTTTGGCTTTGTTATGACATTTATTTTAAAACTTGGCAATGACTACTGGGTTTTTATACTCAGGCAAACTTGCCCATCAAATGTTTCATTAATTCTGTGCTAAGTGAAGTTATTATTTTTATTTGATCCATTTCCTGGCCTTGTTATGTCAGCGTTATTAGAATAATATTTATCAGATAATTATATAGTTTTTGTCACTTATCATGAAATTACTTTGTTAAATTCACATCTCCTAATAGGCTTGTAATTACCATTAGTATTTACATTTCTGACTTCCAAAGCAGTCATACATAACCGTACTTATTTTTCAAATTATTTCTGTAATTATTTACATGAGATGCCTATAAAATTGCCGTTATTTTAGTAATGAGGTTTTACACACATGCAAAAAAAAAAAANCTTAGTCTTTACTTTATAAGTTTACGGAGGTATATTTTAGACCCCATTCCCAGAGATTAGATCAATCCAAACTAGATCGACCTAACTCCCTGGGGGTTCACGCTAAATAGCTGTCAGCCGAGCAGGCATGAAAGTTAATTACCCCCTTACAGCTTGTAGTAGGCAGGACGGACATTTAAGCCGGATCATCTGACAGTAATCTAGTGAGACTCCCCACGGGGATAGATTGATCTAAATGTCTTGGAATACGCCCTTAGTTTACTATGTCCAAGGATACATCAATAGTGCAGTGCAGTTCATTAAATGAAGACACTGTACTCATTTAAAAAAAAATTAGCACACATTAATGGGTATAATGTTTTGAACAAAGAAGTTATTTTATTTGGTGGACTGCAGCAAGGTATTACATGTATCAGAACTAGTTGAAACTAAGGGGAATAACCACCAAAATTTTGCTTCTAAGTATACAGTGTAAATAATGTCTTGAAGCTTGTGGGCCAATAGAAAACGAGTGCTACTTTACTATATATGGTCAGACTTGTATGACTTCATCAATTAACATAATGTCACCATGACAAAATATGAATACATTGATTTTTCTGCAATGTATTTATCAAATCCAGTCTTTGATCTGGCCCAAAGCCAAAAAAGTATATTCAAAAGTTGACCATGTGTTTACGTATTGGTTCCAAAATAAAACAGTTCATGCACCCACGCAATAGCATCCCAGTAACAAATGGGCACTCCTTGCTTTGTCTAGACTTCCTGTCTGGTTCACTAGCTGCTCCACACTCACCTGATTAAGGTGAGGAGCTCTGATATATGTTGCCAGTGGTAAATCTGAAATTCAGTAGCTAGGTTTTATATTCTTCAGTGACGAAATGACAGTTGAAATTGATATAACTGATATTTATCTTAACTGATCTGACATAGTCTAAAATTCAACTGCAGCTTTTTAAAAAATTCTGTGACCAATTTGTTTTGATATTTGATAAATATATCACACTGGGGTTGAATGGAATGTAGAAATCAAATACACAGAGGTAACATTCACATGGAATATATTACAATGTTTTTTTGTTGTTTGTTTTTTTTTTTTTTTATGGATATTTGGTGCATAAAATAATTATCAAGAAAAAATTCGAAAACTTAACATCATTCTTACTCTTTCAGATTATAGGCACATTTTAAATCTGCTCCTTCATCTGTACATGAAACCTAATTATCAGGTTCATGAGAGATGACTTATTTATTCAGTTGTCAGTTGGCCATGATATCATAATAAGCCTCATATAATAACCAAAAAACAGATTTAGCAATTATCAAACACATGCTTATAGTTTTAAAACTGAAATACCACATATGATATGCAGATGGTAATTTACAGGTAACAATTGATTTCTGCCAGGATCAATGTATGTATTTGACTGCTGACTTTGCTAAGGTGGCTCTAAAGTTCCCATATACAATGTTTTGGTTCATAATCAAAGAAGTGTTTTACAGGCAATTTTTGATTTTTCAATAATTATGTAAATCTGACTTTGACTCCCCTTCCCAGCAAAAAAGTGTTCATTTCTAAATGATAATAAGGCATATTTCAATAGTGTTTTCGAAAATAAATCAGATGTTTGTCATCTTCTCACATTAGTGCAAGTAGTTAGAATACCTGTGTGGCCACACAGCATTGTGGAAATGTTCCAGTAAGGATTTCCCTAAACAATAGCCATATCCTAAACAGGTTTTGCGTGTAAAGTAAAAGAACTTCATGACTACAACCTGTCAGGTACAATGACTAACCAAATATTTCTTTTTCATAATTGCTCTGATGTATATTTTACTGTGGTTAATGAGACGTGTGAAAAAGTGCACTGAGTGAATTCAAAACCATTTTGGATAACTGTCTAGGCCTGGGGCACATGAAATTAGTCTTTATTTTATATATTTTAGTTTACTATGTCCAAGGATATATCAGTAGTATAGTGCAGTTCATTAAATGAAGACACTGTACTCATTTCAAAAAAAATTAGCACACATTAATGAGTATAACTTTTTGAACAAAGAAGTTATTTTCTGTGGTGGACTGCAGCAAGGTATTACATGAATCAGAACTGGTCGAAACTTAGGGGAATAACCACCCAAATTTTTGCTTCTAAATATAGTGTAACTTAGCTTGTGGCCAATAGAAAATGGGTGCAAAAATTTGGTAAACAACCCTACAGTAGCTATCATTGGCTACTTTAATATGGTCTGACTCCAGGTATGATTTCATCAATTAAGATATGTCATTATGACAAAATAATACATTATTAATGTTGAATGTCCTATGGTAAGTCAGCACATGTACTGCAATGTATTTGTTAAATCCAGTCTTTGATATGAAGAAACATATGTGAAAAGGGGACAGGGAATCCAAGTGTAAAGGGGTAAAGCCATAGGGGGCAGGGAATCCAAGTTTAAGGGCCCATCCCAAGAAAATTGCTGATGCTAGCAAAAATTCTATTAATATCAATCCCTTTCATACACGTGTCATGTCTGTCATGGTGGGACCCAGACTTGCTGCCACTTTTACAGTGATAGAAGAATGATTTAACCTGATGAAAGAGATCCTGTAGATATGTATGTTACTATTTGAGCAAACTAAAGATATAAAAATTTTCAAAGGTAATGTGAAGTCAACACTTGATGCATGATAATTAACATATACTTCTTATGAAATGATGAAATTTATCACATGCATTGTTCACCAGTGACAAGAACATACATCAGGTCTTAAATAGGTATACATTACAGACTGATCAATGATAAATAACTTATCAATAAGAATTAACTGCTGTGTCACCATCTTTGCCATGTGCAGATCGAATACTTACATGCATTATGATTGAACAAGAAACAGGCCCTTGTTTATCTGTGTGACTGTGCATTTATTCACTGAAAGTTATTTATTTATTCATTTTTGCAGTTTATTGAAACAGAAATGGGATTCATAATCCAGATTCAATAATATATTACATTTTTTCATTGTGATTCTAAGGAATATATTCATTAGTCATTTTTTCCCATAATGTGCTGACAATTAATTAATAAATTAATATATATATATATATATATATATATATATATATATATATATAATTGAATTCTAAATTTTGGAAAAATTAAATTACACTACATACTGCATCTATGTCAACATCCAAACTACTGCATCAACCAGTCTGCTTATAGCTACCTTTATTCTAATTAGATATAGCTAACTAAACAATTCCAGAATCATTTTTTTATGGTAAAACATATTTGAAAATACCTGATTTACAGGGTAATGTGTCAAGAAAGAAAGTTCAATGGTTGGTTTTTAAAAGAAACATTACCTTTGGTAAAATTGTCAAGTGTGAGTTTGTCTTGGTGCTCATTCCTTATGGTGAGAGTTACCTATCAAATAAGTACATATATCCTATCCTAAGATTCAACCCAGGCCCGTTGCCAGAAATTTCAAAAGGGGGGTTCGTTTTCTGAAAAAGTGGACCTTTTTCCATAAAAACATCATGTACCTAGATCAAATTGTACCCAGAGTGGACCTTTTCCCAGCAAAAGGGGCGGTTCTTTCGAACCCCCCGAACCCCCCCTGGCTACGGGCCTGCAACCTGAATAGAAAACCAGACAGGTAATTACACATGCATTCATAACATCATTTCTCACAAACAAATATCAAAAGTCATAGAAATGTGTGCCCTGATGTTATTTCACTCTACTAGTATTTATTATTAGCACCTTATGTCATTGTCCTGTTGACATCATCTGACGTCATAAAACACACAGACACTCCTTGGGTAATTCTATGCTCTAACAGTATATTGATACTTCCAGTTGGTGTCTTGACGAGGGGGCCAGCCTCGTATAATAACTGTAGTTGGTTTTAACTTAAAGCCTGGAAATTTTGGCCAACTCCAGGATTAATCTGTTACATTAACTTAGTCATTTGTGTCTCCTCCATCCCATATTTTTTCTTTTCACATTACAGCTGCATTGGAAGAGAAAATCTGATTGGTGATTATCATGACAAGAATTCCCAAGTTACTTTTCCTCTTCGGAGTTCTTTCTGTTACTCAGGTAAAACTTTAAGTCTCTTTCAACAAACAAAATATGTACTAGTATTATCATCACATATAGTGTTAACATGCTATCAGTTCTATCCTGGAAGCTGGGAACTAAAATGGCACAGAACCACAATGGCTAGCTGGATTAATTGAGTCTTAATTAATACTTCATATGCTTATAACCTAGATTATACATGTACATGCAGTCTGTAGTGATCACTGTGATACGTATTGCTTGTTAAGATTTACTACATTACATTTTTAAGATCCAATACTCAATGTGACCTGCAGATGAAATGTGAAATAAGTATGACTACAGGGGTACATGTATCAAATGACAGTTTTGTCAATAGGCCTATTCAATCCAGTAAGAGGTCTCCAATGCACTCTATCTTTAACAGCATGGGCAATGTTTTTCAGCGTGCTAGCTGATATCAGCTAGTACATTTTTTAAATCTAAAATTTAAATCTTTTAAGAAAATGTAATCGATCAATTTTTAAAATTTTTAATGTTTAAGCTTCCAAGCACAGTGTATTCCAATGAGATTCCATCTAATGCTATGTGCAAAGAAAATGGAGAGAGGTTCTACAGTCCAGGAGCACAGGGTTGCAACCGTAATGACAAGAAGACCAATGATGGTTGTTGTAAAGAATGTAATACCTGCCCAATAGGCTATGGACAGAAACGCCAGTTTTTTGTAAGAAAAATATTTTTTAAATATTTTTCTTATTTTAAAAAAATATGGCAAAGACCTAATAAAGTGATAATAAGCATAACCTAGCAGCAAAGACTTGTGTATCCATTACTGAAATAGTATACATGTATATCCAGCTGATTATTGTGAAACATTTTCATTCTTTTAAAATATCAATGAGTTTGCAAAAGAAATACATGCATGTGTATTAATATCCAATATTTTAATGTTCCAATTTCAATTCTTGATTGCAAGTCTTTACTTTTATTGAGCATAATGTTAATCATAATTATTTTTCTAATCTCTCTAGCCTGATCCATGTGACATAGTCTGTGAGCCATGTAAAAAAGGTGAAACATTTAGTAATAAAATTGGAGTTGCCTATTGTTTACCATGCAAAACCTGTGAACTCTCACATCGCATCACTGCCACTGAATGCACAGCAACAGCCAATAGCCAGTGTGGAAAATGCAAGGATGGGTATGTTCAGATGTCTTAATTCAAGTACACATTTTTACAACAGTTTGAAGTAAGTTAATTCTTAATTAAACTGACTATTCATTTGTTAATACAGTCTACAGTTTGAAGTAATTTATTTAATTGCTGATTGTTCTTCCTCATTCTTCTAAATAAATAAAGTTTCATGCTATAAAGTTCATGTTTCTAAAGAACTCTGTATAATTTTTTTTTCTACAGCTACTACGAAACACGAGATATCATTACTCATGTAGCAGACATAATCTGCGCGGAATGCTGGACATCAGATGATCACCCAAGCTGCAAAGAATTTTTTGACAAGACATCTTCACCTCCACCAATGACAGCACCCACAACACCACTGGTGTCTTCAACACCCACAACTACAATGGTGTCTTCAACACCCACAACACCACTGGTGTCTTCAACACCAACAACACTAATTGTGTTTACAACCACAAAAATAGTAGGCCCAAATGTCAGAAATGTGACTATTACTCAGAAACCAGAGAAGCATGCTTCACTTATCAGTAACACAAAAGGTAGGTTTAATATATATGGCATGTAACTCTGTATTTGGCATTTTCCCACAGACTTCTTTTTTGTTATAATCGTGACTTAAAGAAGCTGTGCTTCAGAATTAAGTATTTTTTATTTTCCTCTTTATTATTCATCTTAATTTCTGAGCTAGTACCTAAATATAACAAGTTACCTGTACATCATTATCTTAAAACCACATCAATTAATAATAAATTAAATGTCTAGGATATGTTAATATGGGGGAAAAGATTTCTAATTTTAAAAAAGTATTCAGAACATTTTACATTCATAGCTGATTATTTCAGGTGACTCCAACAGTGAGAACATCACCAGCCCATCTGTAAATTCTGACAATGGCCTCAGCATTGGCACCATTATTGCTGCAGTTACAGTTGTTACAGTAGCAATCATAGCTGCTGTAGTTGCAGGATGCAAATATTGTAGGAATTCAGAAAACCAACAGACTTCTCATGAAACAGATTCATCTGATGACAAAGGTATGTTTCACACAACATCTATCTACATAAAAGATAAAAGTTTTCTATAGCTCAAAAATTTCACTGAATATTTTTTTTTGTCATTCATTTAGAAAAAGCAACCATCCTTTCAAAAGTAAACCTTGTAAAGCATACCACATTTATAATACTTATTTGACAGGAAACAATCTACATATAACCAGGGTATTTTCAGATGTTCATAACTCACTATTGGAGAACCAGGCACTGTTCACAGAAAATGAAGAGAGAATGCCACCGAAACAAAAGTCGACATCTGCAGGAGCAAGGTATTAATTATAAGTAAACAAATAGATGAGAATGAAAACTTGTAGGAACTTCACTGGCTGCAACATTACTTTGAAAGTTACTCAATATTATCATTATAAATTTATATAAGTGAGCAACACACTTGCAACATACAAAGCAAACAAATATGCTGGTTAGATATAAGGCATGTATACCAGCTAGCTAATCCCTTGTTATCTTTTAAATTGTACCTTTCCAGATATGTACAGGTACCAAACAGTCCAGAACAAGGTGGAAGTACCAAGCTGGAGGTCAACGAATTGCAGCAGATGTCAGAGAAGGTTTCTGGCACTGGCTTAAACTCTGGAAATAATTCTCCTCTACCTGAATCACACAAACCTTCACCACACAGTCCTCACCGTTGTGAAGAATGTGAGAATATGAAAACTTCCACCTGCACCTTCCATCAGGTTAGTCAAAGTCTGCAGATGAAGACCACAATAGATCCAAAAGGTGGAAAATATGCTGAAGGTGAAGATAAACCAAATGGAAGCAGTAACAGCATTCCTGGACATGCTAAAGTATCACCCACGTCATCAGGTTACCTGTCAGATGCAGGTCAATATCAATTTTTAAATTTCATGTTTCATATTGAAGTATCCTTATATGTCAACACAGTAAATAAAATAATGTTAAATCCAAGGTTTCTACAAAATTCATCTCAAATACATCTGCTGACCTCACCACTTTACCATCATAATTATTCAAGTATTACAACAATAAAAACATTAGCATTGGTATATATAGTCATAAAGAAATAATATACCTTGGTCAAAGTGTGCATACTGAACATAAGACATGCTCCTACAGTAAACAATTCTTTCTGATTTAAGAGTCAGTGAGACACTCCACCAATAAAATCTTCAGAAGGTATAATCAAAATAAGCAAAACAAATCATGAACAATAATTATCAAAACTGATCGAAATATTTTGTAGATCCAAAAACTTTGGATAACAGTTCCCAGGGAAGCTCTGGTGAGGAGGAATGGGAGGATGCTCACAATTATTCCAAAGATCAAAACCTTCCAGCTGGGAATGATCAGATACAGACAGGGAGGGTTGTGACAGAGGGTAAGACCCCATTTCCAGAGATTAGATCGATCTACTTTAGATCGACCTAACTCCCTAGGAGTTCACGCTAAATAGCTGTCAGCTGAGCGGACACGAAAGTTAATTACCCTCTTACAGCTTGTAGTAGGCGGGACGCACATTTAAGCCGGATTATATGACAGTAATCTAGTGAGACTCCCCGCGGTGATAGATTGATCTAAAAGCTCTGGGAATACAGCCTAAGAGTCTATTCCCACAACTTTAGATCGATCTATCACCGCGGGGAGTCTGACTAGATTACTGTCAGATAATCCCCCATAAGTGTCCGTCCCCGCCTACTACAAGCTGTAAGGGGTAATTAACTTTCGTGTCCGCCCGGCTGACAGCTATTTAGCGTGAACCCCCAGGGATTTAGGTCGATCTAAAGTAGGTCGGTCTAATCTATGGAAATGGGGTGTAAGACTACAGGAAACTGAAGTAGCTATGCCTTCTTCAATCAACGATGTTTATGCATGTACAATTCCTTGATCAAATTAGAAATTGTTCCACTTTTTGAGTCTGTTTAGTTGGTCGCAAAATATTTAGATGAAAGAACAAAATGTACATGGGGCATGAATATATATTGTGAAATTATTAAATAATCATTAAATAGTGGTATTTTTATTTCTAGCAGAGACAAAGCCACGATCTAAAGCAAAAGCACCAAGAGAACAAGTAAGCATAATCATTTATTTCATCTTATGGCCACTTTAATCATGAAACCATTTGCTTAATCAGGAATATTCTGAAAAATTTTTATTCTGAACAGAACAGGGAACGTAATAGCACAATGTGTAAAAGTTAGCACAGATGTCTAACATTCTAATGAATCCTAAAAATAAGATAACTTTTTATAAATGTATATTACAGGTGCCTATTGATCCACACCTTTTACAAAAAGCCAAGGAAATAACCAAAGGTAAGTTAGAAGAATCAATTTATGCAGTTCCAGGATTTTGTGAACAAAATCACAAGTGTAAAAATATTAAGACTTCCTTCACAGGGCATCCTTGATTAGGACATGGGGATGAAAGAATGTTGCTTGGTTCCATCTCAATGTGCTTGTTAAATTGCATTTTAGGAGGGGCTATAAACAAAATCTTCCATATCTAGGGTAGGGGTGGTATGAGCACACTATATTTACCCCTATCCCCCAACTGAAATCATTCAGAGAAACTAAATGTGAAGTACCAAAATTAGGTACTTTACAAATGAAGCAGTTGAAAGGACAACTGAGAGAAAATTGGAGACAACATTTGGCTGCCAAAAATATGTCTTGCATTAAAGCATTTTGAATTTGAAAAAAGCATATATCCAACCTTTATAATATATATCTGATTTATTCAAAGTTTTGATAATAAATGAAATACTTTTCTCTTGCCAACAAGATTATAAATTGTTTGTTTGTCTTAGACCACCTATACTACACTTAAAAGTATATACCAGTATAGCTCACATATCCTAACACAAGGTTACCCCCTTCTAAAAATGAAAATTTAGGCAAAATGATATAAACGACAATTTTTCAGATATGCCTATCGAGGATCTTAGTCCAGACATTAGAGACCTTCTAGCAGCAGAACTTGATCCTCCAATAGCTTTGTGTGATAACTGGAAACACTTTGGGCACAGAACAGGAATATCTCCAAAGAAGCTTGATTATCTGGAATACAGTGGGCATGGCAGTGGACAAGAATGTAAAACCAAAGCTATTCTGAACATACATGGTACTAAGAACAAAACGGTAGACATTATACTTGATGCTTTAGAGAAAATGGAAAGGTACAGTGCTTTAGAAAGACTTTGCAAGCAGCTGTGTGCAGAAAATGAATTTTGATGTTAACATCAAGCTTATTTTAAAGAGATGGATAAGTCAAAATTTCAAAATGATAATAATAATAATAAATAAATAATAAAAAAATTATATGTTAAAGCACTGATTAAAAAATAATAATAGTGTTACTTATCCCATCTAAGTTACTAAAAAGGAAGGTTATTTGCTTAATTGCCTTGCAATATCATAGCTCTGTCGTGCACAGTTTACTACAGAGGAGAGTGCCAGGGCACACATAGTAGAAGTAAGTACCTACAAAGAACACATAAGTTCTAAAGTTAGCACAATTATGATACAAGACAATTATCTTTTTTTTTTCAAATTTTGTGAGTTAGATGGGGGGATGGAAAGTAATACTCACTTTTTTAAGAAAGTGCCATTATACAAAATTACTTTTTTATTGTATATTGTATCAAAAGCTTATTACCAAAAACACTGGAATGTCAGTTTTTTTACAGATAACACGTCATTGTAAATATCCCACTTTTCAGCCATTTCCCCATCATATTTTGTGATATCTAAGTCATACCATTTGCCTCAATACATGGTGCCACTATTTCACATTCATCAGCTTAGACATTGCCTGCAAAGTGCAATGGTTTCGTATTTCATTCCAATCCACTGTATTGTGCATTACCATTTTCTTCATTATCATTGTTTTGTACATATGCAGTTTTGTTTGTGTCATTTGTAAACCATGTCAATCAGTGGAAAGCTGTAAACTACTTGGATTTTTGCTTTACCTTTATATCAGTGTAAATAATTATTTCACACTGCAATCATTTTCATTTATTGTTTTCATGTTGTGTAGAAATTAAAAAGGACGACTATTGGCTTAATTGCCTTGCATTATTGCTTATTCATGTAAGGACTTCACTCACTTTACTAAAGAAGACAGTGCCAGGGCACATATAGTAGAAGGAAAAGAATACAAAGATGACAAAAGATGATTTAAGTAAGCTCAAAATGGGGGGTGGGGGGTGGAAAGTAAGGCTCCGTTCACATAGGAAATCTATTTTCTAAAAATCTATTTTCGGTATCTTGTGATCACAGTCTGTGCCCTGGATACCCCACGGCGTAATTACTGGCAGCGCAAGCAAGTTACTTCCAAAGCTGTAATTAATTCTCGGCTGCACTCGGAGGAGATTCTGATACCTTGACGCATGCGCAGTAGTATCTCTAAGCTGTGACGTTCATCAGTTTAGTTGTGACGACTCAAGCATACAAACCCGTAATATGGCTAGTGGTAGTGCAAAACAAGTTGGAGGAAGGTCAAAGGGGATGTTGTTGTTGCACAAAATCGACAGAAACATTTTTCAAAGCAACTGCGACCGCCATTTACTTTCTTACTTCCTACTGCTCATGCGTCTAGGTATCAGGATCTCCTCCGAGCGCAGCCGAGAATTAATTACAGCTTTGGAAGTAACTCACTCGCGCTGCCAGTAATTACGGCATGGGCTATCCAGGGCACAGACCGTGATCACAAGATACCAAAAATAGATTATGAGATTTTTTGAAAATAGATTTTCCATGTGAAAGGAGCGTAATACTCGCATTTTTTTATAGAAAGTGCCTGTACACATATATATATATTTTTTTAATTTTGACATTTTTGTGCCTTTCCTAACTGTATTATGTGTTTGTTGTATTCAAAAGCTCATTACCAAAAACACTGAAATGCTAATTCTTGTCCAGACAACATATGTCATTGTTAATATTCGTGTCTTCGGCCAGTTTTTCCAGTATCAAATTTTGTGATATGTAAGTAATAAAAATTGCCTCAATACATGGTGCCACTAATTCACATTCATCAGCTTTTCAGAGTGCTCATGTTTGATATTTTAGTCAAATCTTTTGCATTTCACGGTTGTACCTTACCATTTTGTTCACTTTCATTGTTTTGTATATTGGCACTATTGGCTTACATGGCATTTATATTTTAATGAAATTATTATCTAATTTTTTTGGTCTATTAATTTATATTCATGCTCACAGTATTAATTTTTAAAACTTTAATTATAATCATTTTTAAGGTAGACGACTTTGCAGACATTTGCATGTGCAATGATTTGTGTCATTTGCTATCAAGTCAATTTGTACTGCGTACAGTGTAAAGCTGTACATTCATAAGTTTTTAATTTTATATCATTGTAAGTTATAATTTCAAACAGCAGTCATTTTCTCATACATTGTTTTCATGAAGTGTAGTAAGTTTTTCATTTTCAAAATCATATTTGCTCATTAATTGTTGTTGACTTAACTAAGATGTCAATCATCCATGTACTCAACCTATTTCAGGTTTATGTTTGACAGCTGTCTTTTTTTCCATAATAAATGTTTCAGTAAGTTATTTTACTGTTGTTTCAGATATAAAAGTGGCGCATTACTAACATGATCTACTTAGTGTATACTAATTTGAAATTTAAGCCATCACAACAGGAATATGCTTTATGCTCCTTACTTAATTCAATTTTGTCATAATTGAGAATTATTGTGTTTTTATTTACATTAATAATTGTGGGAAAATGATCTTGAATTAATCTTTACAGCAGAAATAAATATGGCAATCAGAAAACACCAATCAGAGTTGTTTTCATATAGTCTTCCAAATTATTTTTGTTGAATCATCCACCATTTTTGACTGTCTTCCAACAGAAAAAATTAGATATCGATCAATGTAAACTTGAAAATCTGACCGTCTTCCGGAAGACCCAGAAGATGACATAAATCCACCCAAGAAGTAGTAAAGTCTCTTTACAACTTCTTGCTTCACCACACCCCACCCCTACCCCTCTGCCTGTTCTATTCAAATAATTAGCATGCATTGTGCAAGAGTTAAAGCACTTCCTGGTTACAGGTACACTGATCTTATCCACTATCAGCATGATGTAACAACTTTATACTGTGAGTATTCATGCATAAACAATCCACTTCAACTTTACTCTAATATAAATATTTAGAACAGTAACTGTTATGAGAAGTACCAAGCAACTTGTTGATTTATGATTCATTCCCAGTACTGTATGAATGTCACACAAAACTATAACTCCAAAAATATATGAACTTGCTGATAAACAGCATGTGAGGTTTTACACTTAAACCTACTTAAAACAGGCGAATTGCTTCCCCCTTCCCCCCTAGTCAAAAAATAAAAAATAATGATAATAATAAATTGAAACGAAAAAGATTCCATTTTTAGGAGTATGTGACACAAAATATATGGCACTGGATAATATCAGGTGTACAGCCAATAACTTTTCATGATTTCCTTTTCAGAGCCCTGGAGATGACTAATTGCCCGGAGTACTTCCGATATACAATATTCTTTTGTAAAACTATTAATGGTCTGTACTCAAAAAGCATGTCCCCAAAACTCTGATCAACTTATTCAGCCAGTTTGGAATACATTTAATTCAGCCTGGGGAATGCCCACAGAAAATTGCTCCCACTTTGTACTAAGTCATTGAAACAGAAGAAGACACTTATCAAAACTTGAACACTGTATTAATGAATCAGATGAGGAGAGTTCGTAGAGGCGAGATAAAGAGTTTGTTAAATAAAAATGCAATTACAATTAAATTGCTTGATTGATTATTTTGCTGTTGGCCTATAATAGGTTTTTCTAAGACAAAGCTAGTACATGCCAACAAATGCATTTTGATTTCAAACAATGTTAGTATGGAAGGTAAACAAATGCCCTCAAAATCAGGTGATATTTAAACCAAATAGGGCACAAATGTCAAAATCAGGTGATATAGGGAAATCCCCACTGGGAATTTTACTTTTATTAATAGGTCGATAAACAAATCTTAAGTGAGATGATGAAAAAGAGAAAGATCCATAATTGGGGGAGGAGTGTGCACGAGGTAAGCACATTTAATAATCCAGACTTTATTTAGCATGAAAATCTTCATGTAGCTT